AACCCCCACACTGCTGCTCCTCAGAGAAGGGCACTTAGAAGCTGCTGCTGTTAAAAAGTGTGGCCTGAGCCGGGCGTTGGTGGCGCACACCTTTAATCCCAGCACTCGGGAGGCAGAGGCAGGCAGATCTCTGTGAGTTCAAGGCCAGCCTGGTCTACAGAGTGAGTTCAGGACAGCCTCCAAAACAATACAGAGAAACCCTGTCTCAAAAAAAACAAAAAAAAAAAAGTGTGGCCTGCTCACTTGGGCTCACAAGGTAACTGAAAGCAGGATGGGAGCCTGGCTTCCCCTGCATCTGTGCCTGTGTCCCTCGAGTCACCTGCTTAGCTCTGGTGCCTGGTGTGCTGGCCACCCCAGAAGAGCCTGTCTAACCAATGAGTTCCCCCAAAGCTGAAGGCATGGAAACAAATCACTATCAGAAACCTACAGTCACCTCGAAAGAGGCCGTCCTGCTACGAGGCAACTATCCCACTATCCTTGCTGTGAGGCTGAACCCTGGGCCAGAAGCGGTCATCTGGCAGGAACTAGACAGATCCCCACAAGGGAGGACTTCTTCAGACCGCCCTGCAGAGCAGGAGGGACTGAGACACTAACCAACCAGCCATATCCTAACCAGGACTGCTCCGTTACGCAGACCACTTGCCCCTGTGGCAATTCTTCCTCTATCTACCCCAAAGTCACTGAACCCCTTTATCTGCTCTTCCTAACTCGGCTTCACTGAACAAATCTGTCTCTTCACGTTGCGGGTCTCTTTCTTTGGGGGACAGAGGGAGCTGGAGCCTAGTAACAGGGCAGTTAGAGATCAGACATTTGCCCTAAAAATTCCAGTAATACTCAAGATGGGCTCCAGTTGTTTAGACATTTTAAGAAACAGGACACTTGTCGTTTTAAATCTTTTTTTCCAGTTTTTCAAGACTGAGTTTCTCTGTGGCATTGGAGGCTGTCCTGGAACTCACTCTTGTAGACCAGGCTGGTCTTGAACTCACAGAGATCCTCCTGCCTGCCTCTGGAGTGCTGGGATTAAAGGCGTGCACCACCACCACCCAGCTCATTTTAAATTTTAAAGCAATTCCTTACGGCTTTTTTTCTTTTTAATGGGCTTGGTGATTTCTCCTGCCCTCCTTTATAGGATCAGATAAAATGACTTCAGATTGCTTTGTTGTAGCTCTTGACCCCAGGCCTGCCTTCCTGCTGCGCCGCTCCTTACTGTCCTCCCTTGGGCTGCCCCTGCCAGGGCTGAGTGGCATCGCCACCCTCTCTCTCTCCTCTGTGCTGCTGCAGCCCCGCAGCTCCAGTCCCCCAGCCTGACTCATTCCCGTTCCAGGACAGCCTCCCACCCATGCCAAACCGTTCGTTTGCACAATTCCAGTTGCTTCCCTTACTGGGCTCCAGCTGTAAACTACTATGGGATATTTTTTAGTTTCATAAGAAATAAGAGGCCTGGCTCCCACCACTCTCTTCCAGTTCAGTGTCTCCACAGGGCCGAATATGGGCAAATCAGTCCTTCTGAGGCTTATTTCCCTTTCAGCTTCTAGAAATAGAAGCTTAAAACACACCCAGGGGTTTCTAACCCAGAGAGGATCGTAGAAGCTTCTAGTTTCACTGGTTACTGGCTTCCTGTCTGAGTCACAGAGAACCAGGCCCAGCACTGACTCATTAGTGTCGAGATACCCTTGCCATTGCTACCACCATGGCTGCTGCTGGGCTGCCCTAGTCTCCGGGTTAGCTGAAGCCGCCCAGATGGGCAGCAGGGAGCACAGGACACAATAGGTTGACCTCGAGGTCAAGAGACCAAACCAGAAGTCAAGAGTTCTGAGTTAAGATATTACATTCTATCAGAGCATAAGTAAGGGCTAGACTTTAAAAATTAAAGCGGTATTCTCATAACTTGAAATTTACCACTGTGAAGAAGTTTTAGTGTGCCCATCATACATTCCTTCAAGGGAAAGACTGTACCTATGAGCAGCCTTTGAATTAATTCCCCCCTCCCCAGATCCATCCATGCCGTAGCATGTAACACTGCTCCATGCCTCCTGTACCTGGACAGTGTCACTTTTCCTGTCCATTCCTCCTTGTGCCTGGACGGTGTCACTTTTCCTGTCCTCTGCCAATGCCCACTTGAGTTGCTTCTACCTTTAGCTTTTGTGGACGCTGCTATGAACAGGTTCATGTTTCTGTGCAGTTGTTTGTCTTCAAATTTCCTGGAATCTCTATGGTTTTCCCTGAAATAAAGGCAAATCTATAGAACACAATGTTATCTGCTATGACACTGTACTCATTACAGAGTGTTTAGGGCAGGCCTGTCCTCGGTAAGAGCTGGTGAGGTCCCTCACCACTGAATCCTGTCCCACCTGTACTGCAACCCAACATACCGTTATCTGCATCCGCAGACGCCCTGAGCGCTCTTTGAGGAAAGGACTGCTGCTGATAAGGCGTGTCCTCAAGTTCCTATGCTGGCAGCTAGATCCCCAGTGTGGAGGTGTTAAGATGTGGCAGAAACTTTTAAGGGTCGTGGGTCTTGTGGAAGGTTGTTATATGACCCTTCCTGATGAATCTATTTCTTTTCCAGGATAGGACAGCTATTGGAGTGATCACTATAATATGCCCTTTACCCTTGGGCTGGACATTTAGTATGTGTTACGTGCTTATGTTGCTCCTGCTGGTTTTAGGTCTAAATTTGTGTATGTTTTTATCTTTCTTTCTCCTGGACTATACTTGGTTATCATTGTATATAGTTTTTGTATCAAGTTAAAAACCCTCTTACTTAGACAAAACGGGGAAATGTAGTGGTAATTAGTTCCACCTATAGTTTTGGGGTACCGGCCTTAGGGAGTGGCTTCTATGTGCATACATGATCCCTTATAAGGAAGAGGAGGGATCTCTCTCACTCTGTCTTGTGTGGTGGTTGGAGACCTGATATTAGCATCCTGCACCCCCAGGGCAGAAGACTGGGTTAGCTCTTTATCTACATTGTGTGAGTGCTCCCCAAATAAGTATTTGTTTTTCTTTTATTCGGGCGTTGCTGGACTTCCTGTATCTGCCCTCACCTAGTCCAGGCCTCCCCCACATTGTGCTCACATTTCTGCCCCTGCACCGTCCACCAGTGTGGCGGAGACAAAAGGCCTCCCTAGAGCCAAGCAGATGGGGCTGCATGCTCCTGGACTTCAACCTCTAAGCCTGAGATGTGACCAAACTCCTTGTCTTTGTAAGACACTCGTTTTCAAGTGTTCCATCATGGTGGCACACACTGAGCTAAGGGGCCCACTTATGTTCATGCCGAGTCCTTCCTCAATGTTGCCACACACGTGTGTACACCTCTTTCTGCGCTCTCCCCGTGTGACGATATGGCTGCAGCACCTGGACTGACTCTTACATGGCAATAACAGTCAATGAGCAAATGAATTCTCTTTTTCTCTGTCCAGAAAGGAAGCGAGCCAGGCTTTAATTAGGCACAGGCTCCTCCCATCGATCTTGTAGTAAAAGAAATTCCAAGTACATTGAAAAGTCTAAGGTGAATCCTGGTCCCTTTTCTCTGTCACGGGAAGAAGGACGCTGCCTGGATTGGGTGGGAATAGGAGCTCAGGATGAGGCCCCTAGGGACTGTGTGAGATGGTCCCAAGTCCTTACCTGAAGCAAAATGGGTGAGTCTGACAGAAGCCTGAGAAAGGGACAGACAATGGAGCTGTCCTTAGCATCCAGCACGCCTAACAGGTCTCTAAGACAGGACTATACATGTGCGCACACGTGTGAGTATGTCTGAGTATGTATCTGCACTCTGGGACAGGAGAAGAAGCACCTGTGGTGCCCCCAACACTGGGGACATAGAGCTAGAGAGAGGCTGCAGAATAAAAGCCAGCGGCTCCCTAGACATCAGTGTTCAGACCGTGACTGTTTCCCAAAGGCCTATCATGCTTTGGGAAATGCTTGGTTCCTAGATGGGTAGTAAAACTTTTAGGGGTGGGGCCTCATAGGAAGAAGCTTGGTTACTGGGGGAGTGCTCTTCCAGGGGGTCCTGGTCCTCCCTCTCCTACCCTCTGTCCCCTTTTAGGCTGTTTTACTCCAACATGTGCTCCTTGCATGATTTTTCAGACCCCAGAGGCCCAAAGACACAGGGCCCATCCATTGTGGGCAGAATATTCTGAAACCATAAGCCAGGATAACCCTTTCTTGTGTGTGAGTCCTCTGTCTTGGGTAATTTGTCACAGCAACAGAGAGCTAATATGAGCTCTCTAAAACCCCTGCAAGAGTCCTCGGGATAAAGATGCAGAAGGCGCAGTAGCACGGGTTCAGCACAGAACAAACTGGAGGGCTCTTTGGTCAAACCTGCTCCTCCCTGCCCCAGACCGGGGTCGCTGGTCATTACAGCTTTACAGTCCGTGGAGAATGAGCTCAGCTTTGGTTAGGACACACCCACCTGAGAGTCCTCTAGTGTGAAGCGACTACGACAAATGAAAATGACCCAAGAGCTGGGAACGGTGGTGTGGGTCCTGAGTTCCAGCTGTTTGAGAGGCTGAGGCAGGAGCATCCCTGGAGCTCAGAAGTTCAAGGCTAGCTAGGGAGACACCGTGAGAGCTTGTCTCTTAAAGAACAACACAAGAGGCTGAAGGATGTCTCGTTCAGGAAAGGACTGTGCTACTCAAGTATGAGGACCTGAGTGTGACCCCAGGAACCAATGAGAAAAAGCCATAGCATGGTGGCGCCCAACTTGTGTGGGGAGGCAGAGGCAGGAAGATCTCTGGGACTGGATGCCACTAAGTTTAGCTTAATCAGGGAGCTCCAGGTCAATGAGACACCATGAGTTAAAAAACAAGGTAGAAGCCGGGTGTTGGTGGCGCACGCCTTTAATCCCAGCACTCAGGAGGCAGAAGCAGGCGGATCTCTGTGAGTTCGAGGCCAGTCTGGTCTACAGAGTGAGTTCCAGGACAGCCTCCAAAGCCACAGAGAAACCCTGTCTCGAAAAACCAAAAAAAAAAAAAAAAAAAAAAAAAAAACAAGGTAGACAGCACCTGAGGGACACCACCAAAGGTTGGCCTAGAGCCTCTATATACACCAAAACACAGACAGGCAGATGGACGGACAGACGGACGGGCGGACGGACAGACACACGAATCAAGGCGCTGCATTTTCTGTTTCCATCTTTTCAGTGCATCTGAAGTGGGACTGCTTCCTGGCAGAGACAAGCACGGCACTGTTAACTGAGGGCCTTGGCCAGGCCTCCCTGACCTGCAGGGCACAGGGATCTGAGCCTCCTCCCTCTTCCCCTCACCTCCAACCCATACGTCCGGCTCTACTTCTACTTAAGTCCCCGAGCTTCAAATCATATACAATGCCAGGGATGAGAGAGGCCTCAATTACACCCAATTTACGGTCAACGCAAACCACCCCCAAATTCCAATATATTTACTGCTACTAAGGAAGTCACGTGAAGGGCCCGCCTGCTCATCTGCTCACCTGGCTGAGACATTCCGGCCTCTAACGCTTTCTTTCCTTCTTCATGTGCTCGAGCCCATGCTTACATGCTGCCGCTCCCTCCTAACAAACGATGGCCGCCTTTGTCTCAGTCTCTTCATGGCTCTGCTTCACCTCACACAGTAGCTGTGTCCCGGGCAAACTGCACCTGCGGTTTCGTCAACTGCACCATGTTCAAAAGGCATGAAGATTTCCCCAAAGAAATTCTGCAGGAAGTAAATATTGAAAAGTAGGGCTACAAAGACATGAAAAATGCTCATGAGTAAGTAAGTAAGTAAATAAATAAATAAATAAATAAAATGCTCATGACTTGGTGTGAGGAGAAAAAAAAATCCCTATCACACTTCTTTGGGTATCATGCTTCAATTTTTAAATAACACAATGAACATATGATAAAAGTTGAGAGTAGAATTTAATAAAAGTGACAACAGCTACACAAAGGGAAAAGAATATAAGTAACTTGCATCTCATTTTACTTCGCAAACTTTATTAAATGATGGGGCTGGAGAGATGGCTCAGCAGTTAAGGACGCTCCCTGCTCCTGCAGAGGACCCAGGTTCAGTTTGCAGCATCCATATCAGGCGGCTCACACCACCTGTAACTACAGATGCAGAGAATCCACGCCCTCCTCTGGCTCCCTCAGGCAATGGCACATACATGGTGAACATAACTTCACACAGGCACACACACATGTACACATACTTTTATAGAGGGAGGTTACTGTCTACAAATTAATCTTAGAGCTAAAATTAAATTATAATCCTATAGCAAATTCTATTTATTTTTATTTTATGTGCATTGATGTTTTGTCTGCATACCTGTCTGTGTGAGGATGCCAGATCTGCTGGAAGTGGAGTTACAGATGGCTGTGAGTCTCCTCTACATGAGTGCTGGGAATTGAACTCAGGTCCTCTGGAAGAGCAGCCAGTGCTCTTAACCACTGACCCATCTTTCCAGCCCCAATAAATTCTATTTTAAAAGTTGGACAATTGCCAGGCATTGGTGGCACACACCTTAAATCCCAGCACTCGGGAGGCAGAGGCAGATCTCTGAGTTCGAGGCCAGCCTGGTCTACAGAGCTAGTTCCAGGACAGTCTCCAAAACAATACAGAAAAATCCTGTGTTGACCCCCCCCAAAAAAGTTGGACAATTATTGTCCTGGGTCCAGAAATGACAGTGATGTCACTACATCCAGAAGGTTACAGGCAAGGCAATTATTGGCAGTATAGGTGGCTTGCAAATCTTTATATATTCAACAAATGAAAATGTCTCACAATGTTGATCACATAAATCAGATGTCTGTCTAATAGCCTCTTTATTACTTACCACATCAAATTTATAAACAAAAGCTAACTAAATAACTTTCAGTAAAATGAGTCTTTAAAAATAATTAAGGAGCCTGATATAATGGCACATGTCTTTAATCCATCATGAGAGGCAGATGCAGGATCCCTGTGAGTTCCAGTCCACACTGGTCTACAGAGCCTAGGCTGCATAAAGAGAACCCCCCCCAAAAAAATTGGTCAGACAGTAGTGGTGTATGCCTTTCACCTCAGCACTTGGGAGGCAGAAGCAGGCAGATCTCTTCAAGGCTAGCCTGGTTTACAGAGTGAGTTCCGGGACAGCCAGGGATACACAGAGTAACCCTGTCTTGAAAAACAAAACAAAACATTAAGGAGGGATGGAAGTGGTTAAGAGCTCTTGTCACTCTTTCAGAGGACCTGAGTCCTTTGGGTTTGATTCCTTCCCAAGACACACATGGCAGCTTACAACCATAGGTAACTTCAGTTCCAGGGGGTCCAACACCCTCTTCTGACCTCCTTGGGAGCCAGGCATACATATGATATACACATAAATTCAGACAAAAGACACATATACATAAAAATGAAATTAATTAATCTTAAAAATAAAGATCAAGAGCTGAAGGTGTACCTCAATAACAGAGCAGTTGCTTTGCATGGATGAGGCCCGAGATAAATCCTCAGTCATGCCAAAAATAAAAAATTTAAAAGTGGGAAGATTTCATTTCTAGGTTTAAAATATCTTTGTCAGCTGTTAACAAGTAAACAAGATTTATGAGATGATTAAGGGCCTGGGGTCAGTGCCCTCACTCTCCAGGGAAGTCGTTAAACTAAAACCTTGTATTATGGGAAAGCCTGGGACCACCCAGAGGCTAAGCCACGGCCCCACAGGGACCATGTCTGTTTTGTGGAGACCCCGAACTCACATGCAGCCCCAAGTTAAAAATAGAACAGCTATAAACATGCTCTACTTCCCACAGATGGAGACAAGAGTCTGCGTCTTGCAAACCTGCCTCACCATAGCAGTGAGCTGTGAGCAGAGAGCCGCCCCACAGCTGAGCTCAGACAGGCCAGGCAAGAGCACACACTGCACTCCTGTGTAAGAGCTTTCCCTTCTGATTGGAGGCCTGCAGCTCAGCTGCTCTTTGTCAGCTCTGGGTCGACTATGAGCCACCAAAGGTGTTTACTAAAACCCTGGCTGTGCACCTCTGCTCTGTAGCAATTAGATGACCCATCACCATTCTGCCACCGTTGACTAGTACATTAACCCAGTCGAAGCAATTCAGTTCAACTGTCAATAGATGCCTGCTTTTCCCTCCAGCTTGACTGAAGACTGTAAACTCAAAAGAAAACCCAAAAGGAGAAGCAGGAGAGGCCATGGCAAGTGTATGGCAGACTCAGAATGCAGGTCCACCAGTGAAGACCGGTGCTGAAGCACACGCCTGTCAGTCTTGAGCGGCACCTGGGTGAGGACCCCAACTCCTAGCAGAACAGGTAATTTCACAGACAGAAACAGCTGAGCCCAAGATTAGTGAAACCAAAGTGAACGGGAACGCCCAGGAGTGAAGAGAATGGGTTTACTTGTGCCTAGCATTTATTTCTCATTGTTTCCTGGGGAAAAGTCCTTTTTATCTCTGATTATAAAATTTACAGGAAATACTTGTGCAAGCAGGAATGAAATATGCTTTGATGGTCACCACCCCAACACCCCTCCTCAGAAATGGAGCAAAGGAGGTCTTCTCATGAAGATTCTTAGATTTTAAATTAGGAAACTGAAAAAGACTTTCAAGATATCAATTTCCTGTATTAATAGACTCGCTACAACATACCCAAAATCAGCTATTACATGTTATTAAAAGGGATTTCCTGGCCGGGCGTTGGTGGCGCACGCCTTTAATCCCAGCACTTGGGAGGCAGAGGCAGGCGGATCTCTGTGAGTTCGAGGCCAGCTTGGTCTACAAAGTGAGTTCCAGGACAGCCTCCAAAGCCACAGAGAAACCCTGTCTCGAAAAACCAAAACCCAAAAAAAAAAAAAAAAAAAAAAAAAGGGATTTCCTTTGGGGAAAGTCCAGCCTGGGACTTTCCACGTAGCCTAGGTTGGCCTTGAACTCATCACCTTCCTGCCTCTGCCTCCTAAATGCTAGAATTACAGGCATGAACCATTGTACCCAGCAATTCTCCAAGTGTTTTTATGTAGTAAGCAATTTTTCTTTTCTGAAATCATATGCATTCTTGTAATAATTCAACTGGATTAACCAAGTTTGTAATAATAACCAAGACACAAACCTTGCTTAATTGGTTATAACAAGTCACTACTAAGGAACGAGGATTAAGCTTTGCAGGTGTGGGGGGGACGGGACGGGACGGGGGGGGGGGTGCGGACGATGGGGACCGTCTCTCATGGTAACGACTGACAAGTGTTTAAATGGCCCTACCAAAGAATACAGGGCGCTGTTGTGTGGCCACACTGGTTTCTGTGGTGTAAATACTCCTTTGTGGCCAATTCCAACAGGAACCACTGGCTGTGGAAGTGGGAAGAGCTAAGCAGTGTCACACGACTGTGAAGTTTTTCTACCAGAAAGACATACCACCTTCTAAGAACCCCAGGGAAGAGGGAGAGTAAATTCTGTCCAATACTCGCTAAGTGGGATGTGTTGAAGACACGCTGCTGTTGTTTTCAGTATAATCTATCTCACTGTAAGTTATCAGGTGCAATATGTGATAATGACCATGTTTAATACGCAGCTTATAAAATCAGTTCTTGTAAGCCAGCACTCACCAGAAGGCTGCTCTGAAGTCTATTAGTTTAACTGTGTGTGTGTGTGTGTGTGTGTGTGTGTGTGTGAAAAAGAGAGAGACAGAGAGACAGAGAGACAGAGACAGACGGAGTAAGACACACATACACACACACACACACTGGTGTGAAGGTCAAAGGTCACTTAAAGGAGACTGCTCTCTCCTGTCACATGGGTTTAGCGGAATCAAACTCAAGTGGGGAAGCTCTATGGTTAGCACCTTTGCCTGCTGAATCACCTTGCCGACCACTTTGTGGGCCTACTCCTCAGCTTAATGGACATCAGCTTTATAGGTTGCAAAGGATTTCCTTGAGCCGGCCTGGTAGCACTCATCTAGGACCTCAGCACTTGGGAGGTGGAGGCAAGAGGATCAGAAGTTCAAGGCCAGCCTTGGCTGCCTAGTGAGCTCCAGGTCTGCCTGAGCGACATGCAACACTGCCAAAAGCAAAAATTAATCCCCTAGTATGTCGGGAAAGTGATAAACTTGAGGATGCCAGACAAACTGTGTCATTATGGGTAATGCAGACAGAACCTCGCAGGAAGGAACTGAGTGTTCCTTTGCATTCACTCAGTAGATGGCCCGGCACATAAAAGTGCATCACGACTGTAGATCTGCGAGTTACCTCTCAGACCCAAAGGCTCTGGTTTTATTAATCTATAGCAAGGATGTCTTTGTGTGCTCATTTTTTATACACCGTGTAAATAAAAACAGGCAGGTAAATAAAACAAAAGTACAAACAAGTTATATTGAGTCAGAAAATCTCAGCATTCATGAGATCAAGTCTGCAAGACAGAGAGCACATAACTGTAACCATGAAAAGGTAAGTCACCCGTCACTGAGCCATAGCTCATCAATGGCAGCGGGGAAGGGAGACCGTTTTACACAGAAAGGAAAGATAAAGCATGAAGTTAAATTGTTTTTCTTTAGAAAAGCAGGTTTGGGCTGGAGAGATGCCTCAGTTTAGATCACTAGCTGATTTTGCAGAAGACTGAGGGTCAGTTCCCAGCACCCACACAGTGGCTCATAAGCATCTGTAACTCAGTTCCAGGGGACCTGGTGCCTCTTCTGGCCCTGCAGGCACCAGATGCACACATGATACACGCTTGTACAGGCAGGCAAAGCACTCATATACATAAAATGCAGAAAAAAGACTTGAAAAATAAAAATTATTCAATGACTATAACAGCAAAAGAGGAGAGACGGTGAACTTAGACTACTAGATTACTTATTTAATCTGAAAAACAGGGAAGAAAAGATTTTTTTTAAAAATTAACAATGTTGGCAGACCAACCCTACAGCTGCCCAGGCCCAGAACCAGGGTTATGACTTGGACTGTCCCAACATGTACTTTGTGTACAAAGTGCACAGATTCACCTGCAGGCAAACATACACATAAAATACTAATTACAATTTTAATTAATAAAATTAATAATGTTAGATAATAAAATGTTTAAAAAATTGACAATGTTTCAGGAACCTATTCAACCTTACCACATTTATCTATAGGACTGGTGGCATACTCCTTTAATCTCAGTACATAGAAAGCAGCGGTAGGGGCCGGGCGGTGGTGGCGCACGCCTATAATTCCAGCACTCGGGAGGCAGAGGCAGGCGGATCTCTGTGAGTTCGAGGCCAGCCTGGTCTACAAGAGCTAGATCCAGGACAGCCTCCAAAGCCACAGAAGAAACCCTGTCTCAAAAAACCAAAAAAAAAAAGAAAGCAGAGGTAGGAATTCTGAGTCTGAGGGCAGCTTGATCTATATAGTGAGACCCATAATTATAAATTTTAATTGTGTATGCATCTGCATACCTGTGATTTTGTGTAGATCCATGCACATGAGTGCAGGTATCCTCATGGTCCACAAAGGGGTGTTCAGATCCCCTGGAGCTGGAGTTACAGATGGTTGTGAACTATTATATGAGTGCTGGAAACTGAACTCTGGTCCTCTAGAAGACCAGCAAGTGCTCTTAACTGCTGAGCCATCTCTCCAGACCCTTGTCAAAAGAGTCAGCCTAAATGTAATATCCAAAGCAAAGAACAGAAAGGGACAGCCAAATACGTGAGAAAATAATAACCGAACATTTACTCAAAACCGCCACGTTGCCACTCGATTGTAAACATAAGGAAAGCCAGTAATTCTGACTCAGGCTTCTGTAATAGCTGGTGAAGCAGCCAAAAAAGTTAGACCACACAGGAGACTATCAATTAATACCTATTCATACATCCCACATCAAAATAGTCATTTACTGAGGATCCAGAATGAGGAAGGTGCCACTGGCAGCGGTGAGGGTGCAATAGTGCTTTAGCTACAGACATCGAGTGAAGGAACAAGACTTAAGGGCGCAGTCTTCTTTTTAAAGAGGAGAAAAGGTACCCCGCAGCCTCTGCTGGGTAGTCTGTCATTATTTAATTGTGCTTGTTTATGGTGGTCCTAATGAAATAATGTCAGGCTGAGCTCAGAGTAAGAAGGGCTCTCACATCAGCAGGTCACAGTGACAGGGGCACCCACAGAGGTCCTCCAAACGAAATGGGTCTTTTCTCACTCACCTGTGCTCACTGAGAGCGGAAGGGGAGTCTTCTCTGGAAAGCTTTACAAAGCGGTATGTGCATGTGTACACATTTGTGTACTCCCTAGGTGTGCATGTGAAAACAAGAGGTCACTGTCAAGTGTCTTTATTGTTCTCCGCCTCATTTTTTTTTTTTTTTTGGTTTTTCGAGACAGGGTTTCTCTGTGGCTTTGGAGGCTGTCCTGGAACTCTCTTGGTAGTCCAGGCTGGTCTCTAACTCACAGAGATCCGCCTGCCTCTGCCTCCCGAGTGCTGGGATTAAAGGCGTGCACCACCAACGCCCGGCCCACCTCATTTTTTTCGACAGATGTTCTCACTGAACTTGAGAGTTCACCTGGACTGGCCGGCCAACATGCTCAAGAGACTGCCTATCTCCACCCCACCTGCTCCCAGCACTGGGACTATAGGAGCATTCCACTGAACTTGGCTTCTTTGTAAGCAGTGGGGATCTGAACCCAGGACCCCAGCTCTAGCTTCCTGAAAACATACCTGTCTATGGATAAACTCCACAGAACACCCGGACAGGGATGCGCTGGTCCAAAAGGCTCATCTTGGTGTAAGCACTTGGACTGAGACTCGATGCCTGAACCATAAATTTTGCCAATCTCCTAGAAGTGAGCTGCTGGGAATGTCTGACTCTGTTATAAAATAGAATTGAATCATAAAGATATAAGCAGAAATTAGATTTGGGTATGTTTACAGGAGCCTCAGCATCCAGGAAGTAACATTTATGAGCTTGGCTTTGAATCTGACACAGACTCTTTAAGTGGCTTCAGTCTCCCTACTGCATGTGTGACCCATCCATCTGGCGGCGGCCCTCTGCTGTCCTCCACCTCATAGCAGATCTGCATACCTAGAATCCTCAGGCTGTCACTTACTGAGTTACTGCTTTGCACTGGGCTCCATCGTATGAAGATCGTAGCAGATCTGCATACCTAGAATCCTCAGGCTGTCACTTACTGAGTTACTGCTTTGCACTGGGCTCCATCGTGCACTCTATCTGTGTGTCTCTACCTGGAAGTAGGTATTGCTCAGTTTATAGATGATGACACTGGATCTGAGGCTGAGCAACTACATCAGCTGGTAAGTGGTGGAGCCATGATCTGTCAGCTGCCGTTCACTGACTTCGGCTAGTTTGCTTTGGGTCATTAAGCACAGTTGAGACAAAGAATATGATAGATGATAGATCATAGGTGATTAATAGACAGATAGATGATAGATGATGATAGATGAATGATAGATATATGGATGATAGAGATGATATAGGTGATAGACAATGATAGACAAATAGATGACAAGTAGGTAGATAATACAGATAGTGATAGATGACAGATAGGTAGATATATAGATGGTAAGTATGTAGATAGGTAGATACATACATGCATACATACATTTCTGCATGTGTGTGTAATATAGGAACTATACACAGAAGGCATAAACCTCAATGAGTATTGCAGTATGCTCAGATCAACCAAAGACTAAACAACACAGCGTGAAAGCAGAAGGCTACACTTAAAGACTATACATAAAACATGAAGAGAGAATTTGAAAGCTTGTGGTGACTACTGAAAATCCCTGGAGTCTCTTAAATTTTCATGTTGAATGAATCTTAACATAGATAATAAATGGCCTCAAAGGGACAGTGGTCCTCATACCCAGCATGGAAAGGGTTGTGTGTTTTCCTCTACACAATTCCTTTGTAGAAGCATCAGAAAAAATGCAGTCTCACAAGTTCCTAATTGCTGGAAGGTACAGAGGAGTGCATTGTACCAGTCGTCTTGGTGCATGCCTCAAATTTTCCATAATTAAAGTTTTAAAAGAAAGGATAAAGGAGGAAGAAAGACGAATGGGAATCTACCTAAGAGGGGAAAGGGCTGGTACCTGAACAAAGGAAGAAGTCTGAAAGAATAGTTCATTGTTTCTGGAGCAGAAGACGCAGGGAGAGCGTTGCTTCAAGGCAGACAGCGGAGCCCAGCATGGCAGTGGAAGCCCGCGAACTCCAGCATTCAGAGGCCAAGACTGGAGAATTGCAAGTTGAGGCCAGCCTGAACTACATACAGGGACTTGGTCTCAAACCCATCCTTCTCTAAAAAACACAAATAAACATTAAAAAAAAATCCAGCAAGGCTTTTTGTAGATATAAACCATCTTATTCCAAAATGTGTATGGAAAGGTCATTATCTTTCCACCTAGAAAAAAATGACAATATAGAATTATAACAAATGTGTAAATAGTTATGTGACAACAACTGCAGCAAACTTAAGGGGAAATGAGGGTGCATCCCTCTGAGGTTATAATATACAAGGTGTGATATCATTTGAAGGCAGGCTGTGATGAGCCAAGTTTGAGACTGCGTGCCCTAAAATAGCCACTAAAATAACAAAACAAGGCACTGCAGCTAACAATCTGATAAGTGACATAAAATGGATACATAAAACACTTTAGAAGGGAGAAGGAAGACTCTGCTCAAGGCCTCCTGGACGCCCTCCCAAAGGCTCATGTATGGGGAGGACTGGTTCCCAGCATGCACTGGTGGAATGATGGGAACGTTAAGAAGTGAGGGCCTGGTGAAAAGTTTTTAAGAGACTGAGACTGCCCTTGAAGGGGACTGGGAGCCCCCCTGGCCCCTTCATCTTCCTCTTTTTATTTCTGGCCACAGAGTGGTTTTGTCCCATCATGCACTTGTGCCATGATGTGCCCCTTTGTTCAAAGCAACAAGGTCAGCTGCCCATGACTGGAGGCCCTAAGTCTCATGAAAAGGTTGTTTCAGTCGGTTGGTTTGCTCTCTTTGTTTGTTTGTTTTGGATTCATTTTTATTTCATTTGTATTGATATTTTGCCTGCATGTATGTCTGTGTGTGGGTGTCAGATCTTGGTGTTTCAGACAGGTGTGAGCTGCCATGTGGATGCTGGAAATTGAACCTGGGTCCTAATGAAAAACAGATGATGTTCTTAATCACTGAGCCAGCTCTCCAGCCCCTTGCTCTTTTTGTTTTAAAGCAAGGTCTCCATGGGATTCACACTTGAATTTTCAATTCTCCTGTCTGCCTTCCAAGTACTGGAATTAGAGACCTGTGACACTATTCCCAGGATTCTGGCAGTTTCTGTACAGAAACTGACAAGCAGTTTTATGTTTATAATAGAATGCAAGGAATTTACACAGTAGCCACAGCAGCCTTGAAGAACATCACTGCCTGACTTCCAGATTTATTTAAAAAACTAAAGGAATCAAAACAGTACCTGGAAAAAGATTGGTTAAAAGAATAGAATAGAGAAATAGGGCTTGGACATATGTCAGTGTAGGGCTTGCCTAGTGTGTGTGAAGTCCTTACCATCATCCAGAAAGGGTAGGGAGGGGGCAACAGGATGGCTTAGCTGGTAAAGGAGCCCCTGTTGACCTGGGATGCAAGAATTCACATGGTGGAAAGAATGCTGTTCGCTGACCTCCACATGCACTGTGGTACACCCATGCCGTGTGTGTGTGTGTGTGTGTGTGTGTGTGTGTGTGTGTGTGTGTTATACCCATGCCGTGTGTATATATATTTTTAAAGAGAGAAATTATACAGCAAACTATCAAATTTTAAACTAGCTATGTATGGCAGTACATCCCACATCAGGGAGACTGAGACAGAAGTCCTAGGCTGAGACCAGCTTGGGTTCCATTGCACGAATCTGTCTCAAAAACAACTAAAACCAACAAACAACAGAAAGGGGAGAAGACACTGCTGACAGAATGAAGATAACAGATAAACTAGGAGAAAATCTTTATGCAGAAAATACCTGAGAAAGGATTTGTATGTAAAAACAGGCTAAGGATTTTATAGGCCAGGCAGTGGTGGCACACGCCTTTAATCCCAGCACTTGGGAGGCAGAGGAAGATGGATCTCTGAGTTCAAGGCCAGCCTGGACTACAGACTAAGTTCCAGGACAGCCTTCAAAGCTACAGAGAAACCTTGTCTTGAAAAACAAAACAAAACAGGGTAAGGATTTTAAACAAAACCCTTTTGCCAATACACCAGACACTTCATCAAAGAAGATATTCAAGTAGCAAATAATAAAAATCAGACTGCAACAAGATCACATCACACAACTAACTGTAAAGTCCCGCTATCCCAAATGTTAAAGAACAGAGAGGCGGGCTGGTGGCGAGGCTCAGTGGCAGAGCCTTTACTTAACATACAAAAGGCCTGGGGCTGATCCAGTACCTCAAAAAGCAAGCAGGCAACCAAAAATAATGCAGAGGAGCTGGGCTCTCACACAGTTGGCAGGAATGTAAAACAGCGGCTACTTTACAAAACAGTCAAGATTGTCTCTAAAAGTGAGCACAGGCCTAGCATGGTGGCACACCCGTTAACCCCAGCACTCAGTGTTGTTCTTTTGCTGCAGTTACTCAAGATGGAGCACGAACCACCAGACTCAACAAACCCATGTGGAGTTATTGGAGGGATAGGTGTTGGCTAACCAGGGAACAGAGATGGAAGGGGTGGGGGACGAAGGGGAGAAAGGGGGAAGGAGGAGGAAGAAGGGGGAGAAAGGACGAACAGGAGGAGGTACTCCCTTACAAGGGGAAGCTTGCACATGTGTACAGAGCCCTTACGCGGGCATTCATAGCCATGGCATAGCCACGCAACACAGGGCCCTTTGAGCTACCTAAGTATCTGCCTGAATGCCGGTGTGCATACCCTGCCGGTTGTCAGAGGGTGGGGTCAGCATAATGCCAGGATACTAACACTCAAGAGACTGAAGCAGGTAGATCTCTGTGACTTTGAGACCAACCTGGGTCTACACAGTTAGCTTCAGGCCAGCAGGACTACATAGTGAGACCCTATAAACAAACAAACCAAGTTAAGCATAGTATAATGGAATTTCAGGGCATCAAACTATTCTGTATGATACTATAATGACCCTGAAAACACAACATACAAGTACATATTAGACTGAGCAGGTTGTATTTAGGAACACACACACACACACACACACACACACACACACACACGGTATGTAATACAATTAAAGAAAAAGAGGACTATAAATTTGAAGAAGAGCAAGGTAGGGGATATTGGAGGGTTTGATGGGAGGAAAGAAAAGGGGAAAGGATGTACTTATAATCTCAAAAAAAATTACAAAAGAAAATGCAACCTAATTCACAGTCATAGAGGACAGTCCGCTTATTAGTTGCCAATGGAAGGATGATGGGCTCCTAGGGGCTTAGGAAGGCTTTTAGGACTAATGGTTATGAACAACAATGGTTATCCACTGTAGCAATACTTTTCCTATACATAAGGAAAAACATGTCAGATTATCTACTTTCAGTATTGAGTTTGTTGTCTGTCAGTTATATCCCCAACAAAGCTACTTCTAAAGGATGGCTCCAAGATCAAGAAAGATGTGAGTTAGGGATTCTGACTTCATCTCCTCCTGCCATCCAGGCTGGCTTAGACAGCTGAACCAAGAGCGTGGTGCGGCCGGCTTCCTCTGAGCTCCGTGCCAGGGCTTTGCAGACTTCAAATGTGCATTTCACAGAGGCAGTCGGGGCAGCCTGTCGCCCTGCTCTGAATCCTTATCAGCTCTCCTCATCCTGTCCCCATGTTTAAACAGCTATGAGACACCATGTTCTTAGGAGAGTCCAGCTTTACCCCACTCCTACCCTGGGAAAGCCTTCAAATTCAATAACTGTAAGAAAGCTAGCACAGGCAGACCAGTTTTACAGTGTTTATAGCGCTCTGCCAGAGGGGAGGCCCCACCAGAGACTGAAGTCATAAGTCTTGTTATTTCTTCTCTTTTGCAAGTTTAGATGGGAACAGGAAAACACTTGGCTATCGCATTATCTATTATAATCAGGTTCCGCTGCCTGCAACAGAAAATCTAGTCGTTTACATACAAGGAATTACTCTTTTCGCTCTACAAAGAGCGGGAGTTAGATGCTATTCAGTTGGCTCTTTGAAGTTATCTGGGTCTCTGCCTTCTGTCTTCTCTGGCATGTGACTTCCATCTTCAAGGTCACATGATGGCTGCTTAAGTTCTGCTCTGAGTGGTAGTAGGGACTTGGGGTGAGGCAGGGAGTGGCTAAGGGAGGTTTCTGGTCACTTGGGGGTGGGGCGGGGAGTGGCTAAGGGAGGTTCCTGGTCACCTTGGGGGTGGGGCAGGGAGTGGCTAAGGGAGGTTCCTGGTCACCTTGGGGGTGGGGCAGGGAGTGGCTAAGGGAGGTTCCTGGTCACCTTGGGGGTGGGGCAGGGAGTGGCTAAGGGAGGTAGGTCCCTGGTCACCTTGGGAGACGCAGCCAGGCTGCAGGAAAGGAGGGAGAAGGGCAGGTGCCTGATGGCTGGAGCCTGAGATAGGGCAGCTTAGAGCAGTGGGCTGTGAAACAGTACAGCTCCGGTATGAGGACCCCATCTCCGGATGCTAGGGCTTCTCTTTCCCTGAAGAGCTGCTGCAAAAAAAGCATCTCTGCCATGCTGTGGGCCAGCCTCAGGACTGTGGCGAAAGCCGGCCCTTGCAGCCTGCACTGATGTGCCCCGTCAAATGCCTCCACCGCTGAGCATGCGCTGCCGTTAGGCTGTGAGCACACAAGCCACACAGTGTTTCTAGTTCATGGGGCAGAAACAGGGGGAAGGCTTCTTGCCTGTGATCGTATTCTTTTGTTTTCCGAAAAATATCCCCACCCCACCCCCACTCCAGAACCAAGGGTCTTTTCCTTGTTAGGCAAGCTCTCTACCACTGAGCTAAATCCCCAGCCTGTTCATATTCTTACAAAGTGTTAGCGGGCCCACAAATCCACGAAGGGTGATGGAGATCTATTCAACAGTGAAGATTTTCTTGGTTTTGGCTCTGTGGTCCCAAAGCTGCTTTGTCCTGTTCAGCTCTGATCTTTCCTGCTGCTGTTAGTGAAAGACACCAGAGTGAATCCAGACACACTCCAGACGCTCCTGAACACACAATCTGGGGACCTGGAAGTGTCGGACAGCCCTATACTTAGGGCCTGTCCAGATTCAGCACTGAACTGTAATTACTGGAGGAACACATTGCCTTTGTGTCAAATAGATGTTAGCAGGGTGTGTTGGTACATACCTTTTATCCCAACACTCAGGAAGCATAGGCAGGTGGATCTCTGTCAATTTGAGTGCAGCCTGATCTACATAGTGAGTTCTAGGACAGCTAGACCTATGTAGAGACACTTTGTCTCAAAAAAAAAAAAAAACAACTAAAAAATGGGGGCTGGAGAGATGGCTCAGCAGTTAAGAGTACTGGTTGCTCTTGCAGAGGACCAGGGTTAATTCCCAACATAATTACTCACCATCATCTTGTAACTCCAGTTTCAGGAGATCTGATGCCTTCGTCTGACTTTTATGGGCACTAGGCATGCACATGTTGCACATACATACATGAAGACAAAACACCCACATGCATGAAGTAATAAATCTAAAATGAAATTTCAAAAAACTGAAAAATAAAATGCATTTTAGAGAGACGTACTGATATAAAGCAAAATAAATCTCTCTCCTTCACACAGTAATGCTCCCTGGGGATCATCACAGGGTTTCTGGCACATCTTTCCAGAATCTTATACAAACGTGTATTCTGTTGATTGCATTTGCAAGAATATTACTTATAAATGATTCACTTAGTAACATAATGACTGATAATGTATAAGTTGCACCTTACTTATATTGAAATGGGAAGCAGAAAACTAAAACAGCTAAAAACATTGAGTGGGCAGTTCTTCCAGAGTGCAGTTTTGGAAATGACCACCAGGAGTCAGAGCTGCCGGTTGGAATCCCCACAACTGGAAAGTTACAAGAGGGAAGATGTCCACTGAAAATGTGGTGACTCCTCCCTAGGCAGCTGCTTTGGCCCTTTGGCCCAGTGTCTCCCCTACTGGCCTAGGGGTGGTCTAGGAAAGGGAGGTTAAGAAAAACACGGGGTTGCCAGGCCATGCACTCACATCCAGCTGGTCGCTAGAAAAGCTGCTCAAAACGGCCAAATCTGTGTGAGACATGCAAACATGGTCCTTGGGGCTCAGCCCTCCGTCACCGCAAGGCTACTTTCCCATAGTTGGGGACCAGGAGGCTACTCACCCGAAGCCCTCCTGTTTCAGGAGGGACATCCAGTTCTGGGTAGACAGAGATCTGTGTAAGCACAACAGCAGCTCTTACCACTTCCTAGTTGACTCAGCACAAGTTTCCCGTCCAGGCCCAGGCTGCCATCTCCAGATGCTGGTCGAAAGGTGCCCAACCCCCACACGCAGCATAGGGGCACCCCATTCAAACTCTCAGGCTGCTGTTCCCCTTTGCTGATCCCGACTGGCCCCACCCCTGGGTACCCAGCTCTACAGAGCTGACCGCATGTGGGGAACAAGCTTTCTCCTGCACCTTCCTGGATTGCCAGCATCCAAAGGGAGATAGGGCACAGTTACAGAGGGGCTCCAGCGTGAGAGACCTCATCCTAGGAGGGTACAGTGGGCCCTGGGGAAACAGCAGAAATGTCTTGAAGAGGCAGGCAAACTTTTATGTGCTGTCCCAGCGAGGTTTTTCCTAGGGGTTCCTTGGACCACATCCTCCTTCTGGGCCTTAGATGATGGAAAGGCTCACACAGAATTCAGACCCACTACATATGGAGGCAGAACAATGCCACTCGCCTGTGGAAGGGACAGGGGCTGGTGCCCTTTCCAGGCAATGATCATTCTAGTTCTACTTGAGACTTCCAAGCTTTCTGACAGGCGAGTTAAGGTGACCTTTTTATGTGAGTTGAATGTCCATATCTGCCTAGCTGGCATATCCAATATGGGCTACATGAAGCAACCGTAATTATTTTAGTCACTACATACTTTAAAAGCTATATACATAATTTAAAATGACACATCTGTGATGCCATACACATAGTAAAAATGCTGGTTATTATTAAAACATAGGTTCTATTCACACTCAAATAAGATTACACAGGATGTTTGATGTCCCATACATAATGTATAAGCCAGTGCTTCATGTAATAATATAAAGGGGATAAAACAATGCTTACATTGGGATGGACATTAACTTACCATGCGGGATAATAGCTGTTGCTTTGATGTGGCCTACAAAGGAATGGCAACCAGGACACCCCCCCACCCGCCATTACCCTATCACACGTGATGCATGAGGTGTGGGAGAAAGACCCTCGTGTAGCGTCACCCACACGCCAATCCACACGCCAGACCTGGTGATGGTGCCAGGAATGTGCCCCATCAGGAGAGGGAGGCTGAGCCAATCCAGCTGTCCCCCTTGCTGGCCACTGTTTCAACTGCTTCGTGACCCCTGGATAATACTGAGGCAGCCAAAGAGCATCCAGAATCTGAAAAGCCTTGCTTTCAGGCACAAGTGCCGCTTCATTGAGCCATTCAATGACAAGGGCCAACAGAGACTTCGCAGGTCCACAAGTGCCTGAAATCTTTGGAACAGGAGCCGTGGGGGCTAAGAGGGGGAGGAAGGGATTCAGCTCCACCCTACAGAAGAACCCAATACCTGCTTGCCCACCCTCCAAGTTAATCATGCTTTAGGCCCATGAGTCATCCAAGAGGTGGGCGGTCATGTCGAGTTTGTCACGTGTGGCATCCTAATGACAACAGCTCCATCCTCTGCTAATCCTTCCTTAAATGACTCCACCTTCAAGTCCACAGTCAGCAGGCAAAGGCCAGCATCACATCTCCAAAGTTTCCCAGTCAGGACCATGGGGCGTGTCCCTTCTAGAGAGTGAGTCAGGAAATTGCACTTCCTGTATCAGACGCCAGCCTGGCACACAAGGTCAGGCTAAATGCTCAGGCAGGTTCTGGTCACGAGCATCCCTCCCACATGGGCAGGTGGCCTTCCTCATCTGTAGTCAAACAGCTTCTGAGGTGGTGACAAATAGCTGTGCCTGTTGACATGCAAAACAAAGCCAAGGAAGCATTCCTCAGCAGGCCTCAGCTCAGGCTCCCGTCTCGCCAACCCCAGAAAGGCAAAACTGACTACATCAATGGAAACTGGAGAGAATGGGTTCCCTTGCTCCCTGGGAGGCTCATGACATTTCAATTACATTCAATACAATACAGCTGAATTATTTTTAACCTTACAGAGCCTCCTGGCTTTTCCAGAGAGATGTAAGTTGGAGGAGTTGAAGAATACATAGAAGCAGAGGGGGGTGAAGGGTGGGGGGCTTAACCAATAATACAGGTGCATAATAGCACCATTCTGATTCCGGCAGGCAGAGCAAGGCATCTTTTACTCAAGGAGTCATGTTAGTTGGACACTTCAGGTGCTCTTTGCTCTCAGAGTAGTATAGTCCGTTTCCTTCTGACACGGTCTCTGTGATTTTGGCTGAACCACAACAGAGCAGTTTTAGACAATTCTATCGAAATTAAAAATTCTCACTGTACTGTCTTTTACAGTTTTACCCAGAATCTAAGTAAACTGATCTCAAGCTGGGCACACGCCTTTAACCGCAGCACTCAGGAGGCAGATGCGGGTGGATCTCTGTGAGTTTGAGGCCAGCCAGCCTCCTCTACTGTATTCCAGGACAGCCAAGGCTGTTACTGCTGGGCCCAGCGCAGCTTGGTACACACCTACCTCTTGGTTACACTGCTTCCATGACTCTAAGGCAACACCTGACCCCAGGAAAAGACCACAAACGGGAACCGCCCACAAACAGACCATCTAAGGGAAAAACATCTAACATTCCAACCATTGTAAATAGGATCACAAGATGTCCCTCAACCCAGAATACAACCATCCCTTGTCACCAAGACACCCCTAGACAAATGACAGCCAATTAGGGGTCCTGAACCTTAGAAACCCCCCACCCCAACCTCTGCCATGATAAAAGCCCCACCCCAAATGAGAGTCCAAATTCAAACTTGAATAAAGGCTCTTTGCTTTTACATACAGGGTTTGGTCTCCTTGATGGATTGTGGGGCAGGGGAGACCCTCCGAGATCTGGGCATAACTACACCGAGAAACCCTCCCGAAAAACAAACAATTAATAAATAAACAAACAAACTGATCCAAGGTCTTAGTAGCCAGAGTAAGAGGCGAGAGAAATGCCCCATTTCTTCTTTCTTCCATTCCTCTTATTCCTCTCATGCTATGAAAACCCACTGTTAAAACCTATCAAAGGCCTCGTAGTAAAAACAAATAAATAAGCGGGCCCAGATCCTCTCTTCAGATCATGGTGCTGTATTTAATGACAGTGGCCACCGTCAGCACCTCCAGGTGCCAGATACATGTACTAACACCACTGTCCTAAGTGTATTCCTCTGTGCCCCAGCACCGTGCTTTCTAAAATGCCCATTTCTTCTTGAAATACAGCCCGTGTGTAACAGACACAATAAGAAGAAATCGATCATTTTCTTCTTACTCTGGCTATCAGAAATATAGACGTGCAAGTTTAACCACAAATATGAGAGTTGACTGTCAATCTGGAAGGCAGCAGAGAGTGGGGATGGTGAGCAGGAGCAGACATTACCTGTTAGGGGCAGAAGCCACTGTTTACATCAGTCATTTATCTTGCAGAAATTTGTGTTCAAATCTTTGAAGAAAAAAGCCAGGAATTCAAATTCTTTTTTTTTTTTTTAATTTGAGAGAGACGGTCTCAAGTAGCCTAAGTCGGCCTCAAACTTACTATATAGCCAACAATAACCTAGAACTCCCCCCCTCCCCCACCCCACCCCTTGATTCAGAGTTTCTCTGACTTTGGAGCGTGTCCTGGAATTCACTCTGTAGATCAAGCTGGTCTAGAACTCAGAGAGATTCTCCTGCCTCTGCCTCCTGGGTGCTGGGACTAAAGAAATGCCTCACCACTGCCTGGCCCTAGAACTCTTTACTCTCCCTTATCCATCCCCCCAGGTGTTGGATTGGAAGTGTGAACCGCCACACCTGTCAGAAATCCAGATTCACAGGTGCACTCACTCTGGATGTTTCCATGTGGACTCCTGGCTTGACTGTTTTCGTCAGGTTACCCATTCGTCTTTCCTGGCTGGGGCAGCAGGAGTGGAGACAGAATTACCACCCTGGAAACCAAGAACCCAAGACTGGTAGATCCAGCTGATACCAGCCCACGCTTCCCCTGAGCAAGACACCTCATTGTTTTGTACCTCAGCCACCACGTCTCAAAAGTTATAAGTTCAAAATTCCTTCCAATCCTTAATTGCTATAGTGTTTGCCTGCACGAATTTTTTAAAGGTTGTCTGCCCCAAGAGGATCTCAGAACATGGTAGAAGGGAAAACAAAACAGAAACTGGCTCCTACATCACTGCTGGTTCTACATGCAGTAGAGACATGGCCTGGGTGTGGCAAAACTTGGCAAACAGGACCGCAAGGATAGACAAGCTTTCATCAGCACAACTCTCTGGAGGATACCCGCCACCCGTCAGGGACCACCGTCACTGAGTGCAAAGGTCCTTCTATGTGACAAGCCCTCTTAGCGTTTTGAGACCAACTCCAAGGTTTCAAAGGAATGTTCTGAGTCAGAGCAAATCTGACCAACAGCTCTCCCCCAGCTGGGCCTCCTGTTTGACAACCCATGCCAGCCCACCTGTGATGAGTGTTATCTTTTGTCATTGTCACTCTGTGGCTTCTGGCGGTGGCTGATTACACTAGGAGAGGCTCACATATGTGTATATAAGTACCTGGTGTGGCCTGCACACAAGTGACTCGGATGGAAGAGATGATATCTTGTTTTACAAAGAGCATAGGAAGGAAATAAAAATAGTAAACTGGAAACTTCTCATTCTAGCAGTTACAATGAGCAGAACAAAAGAAAGTATTCACTTCCTCACAGCTATATCTTAGGCAAAATAAAGGCCCAAGGAATGATGGCAACTTGTGTGAGTTATCACCAGGTACCTTCTTCTTCTTCTTCTTCTTTTTTTTTTTTTTCTTGGTTTTTCAAGACAGGGTCTCTCTGTATTGTTTTGGAGGCTGTCCTAGAACTCGCTTGGTAGTCCAGGCTGGTCTCAAACTCACAGAGATCCGCCTGCCTCTGCCTCCCGAGTGCTGGGATTAAAGGTGTGCACCACCAACACCCGGCATCAGGTACTTTCTTCACACTGGCCTTTTGACATGACAATTGGCTCCAAGTAATATGAAGAAGAGGGTATGCGGAAACTACATTACCAGAAGTTTTGTGCATCAGTAGGAACAGGGCCTTTTTTCCCCTGTCATTAGCAGCTGCCAGCAAGAATCCAGTGTTATAAAGAATGATGACCTTTGGTCCCCAACCCAGCTGCAATCCTCCGTGTGTTCCATTCTCAAGGCCCTGGAGGCATTTTCTCCACTGTGCTGTATTCCTACCTGCCTTTTGGTAGTTGGGGTGCTTGTTCTAAAACCTCCATAGTCTTCCCCTTCCGCTTGGAATGCTCTTTACCAGGATCTCCTTGAAAGTCGTTGATGCAGATGTCAGCTTTCAGGGCACCCCTCAGAGAGCCCCCCAACTATCCAACATGGAGCATCATCTGTCACGGGACCAACCTTTAACTCTCTGATCAGCACTCCACATCATACACCTGATGGAGTCCAGTTTCTTTTTCTTCATTTTGAGTATTCCTTAGAAGACAGAATCTAAAACAAGAATTTAAACTGATATGAGCTTATAAAAATATAAGCCCCAGAGGAATTCAGCTTCCGTGTCTTGTTCACAGTGTATTTCCAGGATCTAGAATAGTACCTTAGATACACAGCAAGTGCTTCAAACACTGGTTAACAGACTGGATAGAGGGGCTGGGTAGACAGAAGAATCCAATCGGCAAACGCCTTCAAGGTCCCCACAGTACACTGACTGCAATATGGAGCAGGGGCTTCCTCAAAGGCCACACAGCCTACCAGGGAGGACAGACCTTGGTAAGGTAAGAGAATTGCTTCAAAGCATACCAAACCTTCTTCCCAAGATGACTCAGAACGCTTAGGAAAATCATGGGAGGTACTAACTTTGAAAGCACAGAGCCCCGGGGGATCTGATATGTGAGGGGCAGAGGGGCCACAAAAGGGAAGTGTGAGCGTATCAGTGTGTGGGCACTGAATTGTGGCCTGGATAAACAAAGGACCATCCAAAGAGTCCCAAGTGACATGATGGCTTTACGGCTTATGGTGATGATTTTGGTAGTAGTGAAGGCAACTAATTAGGAAAAAAGCACAAAGCATTTAGGAGGCTGCTGTTTAATCCAGATGAGCAAAAAATGTAAAGAATGCAAAACATTAATGGCAGTGATGCCAGAAAAGAAGAGTGGGGTTTGAAAGTTGAGGAGGTAAAGCAATAGAGCTTGGTGTCCCATGAGATGTGGGGGTGAAAGAGAAGATGGGTTCAGAGAAACTTCCAGTATCCGGCTGGTGCTGTGGAGAAATGTTCATGTTTTCTACCAAATAAAAGGCTCCACAGCTCTGAGTGTGTCCTGTTTGTGAGGTCTGTGCTCTGGCTTCTCAGATCAGGTGACCAACTGTTTATCTGTTTACAGAGTACGTTTGTACAGCAGTCTCTCTGACGTGGATGTCAGACCTACAATGCTGATGACTCCTCTGCTAAGGACACACATGCGGTTTCAGCTCACAGCCATTTCTGGAGGAACACGCTGGTCCATCACCACAGAAGCGTGACTATTGGTCTAAATATAGATGTGCTTGTAGCCTCAGAAACAAAAGACCAGAAGTCAGGCTTCCAGTTACTTCAAGGAAATTTTAAGGTGATAAAATTGATAAATCAATGCATGTTATACTTCCCCCACCTGTCAATTTGATCTAAAGATAAAGCTAGGGTTACCTCAACTGTTTCATTTCTTGTGACCTCAGTGGTTAAAGCTACTCTTAGCCCTTCTTATAGCCTCAGCCTACTGCACGATATTCCTGGCAGTCCTCATGGGATACCTCATAGGGGCTAACTAAGTTGAGAGCAAGTGTAGTAGGCTGTCTGGGATCCTCAAATTCCCCTAAGCCCTCCCCGGCTTCACCTGCAGCTACCACCTGCAAGGTCATCTCATTTGAACACCATGGGCACTGGGACCTGCCACCTTGGGTTTGAATGCTGGTGTTGTCATTTATGAGTCATGTGATTCGGGGGCAGGTCATTAGACTTCCTAAGGTGCAATTTCTGCCCTCATTTAAAAAGTGAAGAAGAGGAGGAGGGGGGAAGGGAGGAGTGGTGGTCACAGATGACTCAGTGGTTAAGAGTTCTTGCTGCTTTTGTAGAGCTGAGATCAGTTCCCAGGACCCATGCAGGCAGCTCACAGAGGCCTAAAACTTCAGCCCCAGCCCCAGGAAACCCAACAGCTCACAGAGGCCTAAAACTTCAGCCCCAGGAAACCTAACACCCCAACACAAGTGGCATACGCTCACACAGACTCATACACATAATTTTATTTATTTATTTTTATTTAATTTTTTTTTGGTTTTTTGAGACAGGGTTTCATAATTTTTTTTAAAGAACAGTGTTAACTGGCCTACCTTATGTGGGTATCTGGGTAACTGTGATGATTAAAATATTTATAAAGTAGTTTTTAAAAAGCGCCTGGCACATGGCAAGCACTCAATAAATATAAGCGACCATGCTCCTGCCATGGTACCTGATGGCCCTGCGGTGCCTCTGGAGGGTCCTGTCACAAGGTACCAAAGCTCTAGGAGTCTATCATGAAGAGCCAATGTCCTTCCTTCTGTAATATGATGCCAAGCAGCTTACACCCCGTGTGTTCTGAACTTACCAATGACAACAGCTGACCTCTCACCTGCTGCACCCCAATCCTTCTCATGACACCCACTTCTAGAAGACCTCGGCTAAAAGGCAAGCAAGAGTGACAGGCACCATGCGGTCCTCCCCTTCCCAGAGCTTTGCTACAGCATCAAGTGGGTTCAGCCTGGCTCCAGCTCCTTCAGGATGAACTTGAACCATCAGTGCTTCCTTCACCCTCAGCAGACTCCAGAGTCCCTCTTCTCAATCTCGTCAAAGGATGAACTGAATGCTGAGGTCTTGAAAAGAACCAGGCCTATGCAGTTTGGCAGTGGAAAACAATTATAAACTGTTGAAGCACACTAAATCCAACACTGAAGAACAGTACTGATACAGGCTTTCAATTTATCCTTGATGATGAAGTACCTGTCCATAGCCTAGCACTAAGACAGGGAAAAGAATCTGAAAATTCAAATGTGATATCACTTAACTCTGACAAAAGATGGGGGGTTCCTATAAAGAAAACCATAACACATTACTAAGGAAAAGAGTAGAGATAGGACGGGTGAGACAGTTCAGTAGGTGAATGTGCTTTCCTCAGAAGCCACAGAAGGGAGGAAGAGGAGAATCAACTCATACAAGTTGTTTTCTGATCTCCATAGGCACACCTTAGCATGCATATGCCCCTCCCCTATACAAACAATAATAAGTAAAAGAAAAGATAGATATGCATGGGGTACACACCTGAAATCCCAGCACCTGGGAGCAAAGCCATATAGTAATACTCAGTCAAAAAATAAGACAGAAGAAAAACGAGGCAGAAAAACAAGAGAAGATGCCCCTCCCCCCACAAAAGAAGAAAAACAAGAGGAGAAGGAGAATTATAAAATACTCCATGCTCTTTTTTGGGAGGAGGGGGTTGAGACTGGTTTTCTCTGTGTAGCCCTGGCTGTCCTAGAACTGGCTCTGTAG